GGCGCACGTGGACCTCGCGGCGGAGGCGCGGGTTAAGCCTCGGCCAGCAACGACTGCACACCTCGAGGCGGATGAAGACTCCGCGAGCGATGCCGAAGGGCTCAAGGGGCGAGTCCCGCTGGAGCTCGTTGACGTGGGTGGAGGCGGCGGCAGCGACGTAGAGGAGGACGTGGAGGACGCCGAGATTACCGAGATCTCCCGGTTTCCGCTGCGGGACCACGTCAGAGCAACCGAGCTGGCCCTACAGCAAGACCAACTGCAGCGCTTGGACCAGAAGGGCCGCCTCAGCTACGCCGATAAGCAGTTGAAGAACCTCGACAGAGCGTACAGCGGCATGCTGCAGCCAAGCTTTGCACTGCCAGCCAGCAGCGGCGCGCGGGAACATCAGGGCACGCGGCTGGACGAGACCTTTTCTGACATGCTCGCCCTACAGCGGCAAAGCATTGCGCTCCAAAAGAAGCAAGCGAGCCCGGATGGAGAGATCTTGCCCGATGCTGCGGACGACTGGCTCCCCAGCGGTGCTCCTCAGCCTGCTGCCGAGGACGCCCAACCAGAACTCGTTCCGCAGCTCTTGGCCATGCAGGGCCCGGCGGCTGTTGCGTGGAAGCTCGTCACTGATGCCCACTGCACGGAGGAGCAGATTGACGCGGTGGCGTTGTTTGCGTTGTCTCTGCAGAAACGTTTTGACGGCAGACCAGACAAGACAACGCATCTCCTCCCCGTGGCGTCCGCGACAGGCAACCACAGAGCGATCTGGCTCGGTGGAGGCGGTGTCGGCAAGACGCGCACCCTCTCCAAAGTGGTGGAGCCGATGGCCATCACTTACTTCGGCGAGCAGGGGTACCTCGGCAAGGCGCAGTCCAACCACGCCGCACACAACCTTGGCCCGCGCGGCAGGACCATGCATTCCTCCAATGGCCTGCTCATGTCGGATTCCATGCAGACAGCCAGGCTGCGCTTGACGCCACAGACGCAGAAAAAGCTGGATCGCCTCACAGGCACACTCGGCGTCGACGTGATCGATGAGCTGGGTGCTGTGCCGGGGCCTTTGCTGCATGCAGATGCACTGCGCACGACCTACGGCAGGGCGTTGCGCTACAACCTGGACCCCACGAAGTACATGCGCCCGCAGGAGACGTGGGGACGCATGCCTGTGAAGATCTTGTGCGGAGACTTCTACCAGTTGCCGCCAGTCCCCGCCACCGCTTCCCTGCTGGCGCCTCACGCGGGCCAATCCTACGAACACCAACAGGGTAGGAAGTTGCTCGCCGACATCGAGTACGTCATCGATTTCGTGCAGATGCAGCGCTTTACAGACCCGTTGCAACTCGAGGTTCTCCACGCCATGAGAACTCCAGGCGGAAAAAAGATCTCTGACGAGAGCTGGCAGGCGATCGTCAAAACAGAGGTCGTTAGCTCTAGCGGTGCTGCTCAGCCTGCTGCCAGCAGCAGCCAAGCCGCTCAGCCACCTCAGTGGGGCCCTCGGTTGCGTGCAGCACGAGGCTGGTACGAGTCGGCCTATGAGTGGCGCATCGTCTCTTACGCCATGCATGCACAGGCCAAGCTTGATGCGCACGATGCTGGCCAGCTGCTCTTTTACGTCCCAGCAATCGACAGACCAGCTGCGCGCCTCGCGAAGCCTGATTACGACGAGATGCGCGCGGAGCCCAACATCGGCGCTACCGCAAAAATGCCGGGGCTGCTGCCGCTCTTCGTTGGCATGGAGGTCATCCTGACAGAATCCGTCTTGCCGCCGAAGTATGTCCGTGGCGCGCCAGGCAAAGTGGTAGGCATAGAGCTGCACGCTCTGGAGCCTCCGGTGGAGGGCCGCCCGTCCATTGTCTCGGACGGCGTGGTCGTACTCTACTACATGCCAAAGGCCGTCTATGTCAAGATCGATGACAGCGATGAACTTTTCTTGAAGGCCGCGCCGGTGACAGCTGGCAGTGCTTCTCAGCCTGCCGGCCCCGACCTGCGCGGAGTGCTCGCGATCACCCCGCAGGCGCGCCCCTGGAAGTTCAAAGCGAAGACAGGTGGCCCGGCCATCGCGGTGTCCAGGACGCAGTTGACCGTGCTGCCCAAAAAGCAGGGGACTCTGCATGGCGTCCAGGGCAAGACGACGGACCCAGGCTTCATCGTGCACTGGACGTTTCCGCCAGGACTCAAGAAGGAGTCCATTTGGCTTGCCTACTACGTCAGCCTGTCGCGCCCCAGAAGCTTCAACCAACTCTTGAGCCACGGCTTGCCTGACCGGAGCATCATCGAATCCGGCCCCCCGGAGCAGATCGCCAAGGCCTTTGCCGAGCTCTTCGCGGACAAGATTGCCGCGACGAAGATCGCTTGCGCGAAGGCCCGACAGCAACTGGGATGGCCTGCGCGAGCTTGAGGAGTCATGAGATGCAGGTTGCGTTGTGGCGGTGCTGTTCAGTCTGTCCGTCCACATTCGCGTGGTGCTTCTCAGCCTACATGCGCGTGGTGCTTCTCAGCCTGCGCTCGTGTGCAGCTGTGCGCGGTGAACCTGCACGTGTCGCGGAATGCTTTTCAGCCTGCGCGTGTCTGCAATGCTTTTCAGCCTACACGCTTTGCAGCTTCTCCGCTTCGCACGCCGCTCCTCAGCGCGGTCCTCTGAAAAAAGAGCAGGCATCATCTCATCTGGATGTTCATCTGAATCTTAAGGGGAATGCTTTCAAATATGCTTCTACACATCGCTGTTAGGTTGCTTTGCCGGGATAATTTATTGTTGCTGCTGGTGTTGAATCTTCATTACGGAGCAATTCTTATTGCTGGACCCCCAGTATCTGCCTGGGCGCTCTCGCCTCGGTGTCAGCCGGCTGCATTTCCTTAAACATTCAGGTTTACGCTCAGTTTCAGGCTACCGTACAAACGGGTCCCCAAACAACAACAGCAGCCATACGAACACCATCAACCACAACAACAATAACACTACCAATAACAATGTCAACAGCAGCAGCAACAATGACACCTACTACTACTACTACCATTACTTTACTACCACTACTACTGCTACTACTGCTACTACTACTACTACTACTACTACTACTACTATTATTCCAACTACTTCCACTATTAGTACTACTAGTAGTCGTACTACTACTACTACTACTACGACTACTACTACTACTACTACTACTACTACTACTACTACTACTACTACTACTACTACTACTACTACTACTACTACTAGTACTGCTACTGCTACTCCTACTTCTACTCACACTCCTACTACTACTGATGCTGCTGCTGCTACTACTACTACTACTACTACTACTACTACTACTACTACTACTACTACTACTACTACTACTACTACTACCACTAGTACTATTACGACTACTACGGCTATTATCTTGCTGCCACTATTACGAGTACGATTTGTTCTACGACTACAACAATTGCCACTACCACTATTACTACTACTACGACAACTATTGCTACTTTTTTCCCCAACCCTCCCTTGGTTGGGTACTCGTTTTGAATCGAGCACTCTGGTCGCCCCGTCCTCCCGCCCACCTCCCTCCCGCCTCCTACCTCCTCCTCGCGGCGCCCTCTGGGGGGCTGCGATGTGCGCAACTGTCGCCACTTTCATGGGCTCCTGGGAGGCCCAGCGGAGTTGGGGTACACGCGGATCACCTCGGGACCTCGCGGCGCCTGGGGGGTTGCGATCTGCGCAATTGTCGTCACTTTCGTGGGCTCCTGGGAGGCCCAGCGGAGTTGGGGTACACGCAGATCACCTCGGGACCTCGCGGCGCCTGGGGGGTTGCGATCTGCGCAACTGTCGCCACTTTCGTGGGCTCCTGGGAGGCCCAGCGGAGTTGGGGTACAAGCAGATCACCTCGGGACCTCGCTGCGCCCTCTGGGGGGCTGCGATCTGCGCAACTGTCGCCACTTTCGTGGGCTCCTGGGAGGCCCAGCGGAGTTGGGATACACGCAGATCACCTCGGGACCTCGCGGCGCCTGGGGGGTTGCGATCTGCGCAACTGTCGCCACTTTCGTGGGCTCCTGGGAGGCCCAGCGGAGTTGGGGTACACGCAGATCACCTCGGGACCTCGCGGCGCCTGGGGGGTTGCGATCTGCGCAACTGTCGCCACTTTCGTGGGCTCCTGGGAGGCCCAGCGGAGTTGGGGTACACGCAGATCACCTCGGGATCTCGCGGCGCCTGGGGGGTTTGCGATCTGCGCAATTGTCGCCACTTTCGTGGGCTCCTGGGAGGCCCAGCGGAGTTGGGGTACACGCAGATCACCTCGGGACCTCGCGGCGCCTGGGGGGTTGCGATCTGCGCAATTGTCGCCACTTTCGTGGGCTCCTGGGAGGCCCAGCGAAGTTGGGGTACACGCAGATCACATCGGGACCTCGCGGCGCCTGGGGGGTTGCGATCTGCGCAACTGTCGCCACTTTCGTGGGCTCCTGGGAGGCCCAGCGGAGTTGGGGTACACGCAGATCACCTCGGGACCTCGCGGCGCCTGGGGGGTTGCGATCTGCGCAACTGTCGCCACGTTCGTGGGCTCCTGGGAGGCCCAGCGGAGTTGGGGTACACGCAGATCACCTCGGGACCTCGCGGCGCCTGGGGGGTTGCGATCTGCGCAACTGTCGCCACTGTCGTGGGCTCCTCCAAGAGGTGCCTCCAGGAGGCCCGAAGACGCCAACATCATTGAATTTCCTTGGGTGTTTGAAGGATTTTGGCATTTGCTTCTGCTCGGCCTTCCCACGGCCCGAGACGGCCCTAGAGCCCCCAAAGATCGCACACAGATCGCCTAAGAGGCCTCCAGGATGGCCCCAGAACGGCCCAAAAGGCCACCAAGACGGGCCGAAGAGGGCCCCAAGACAGCCTGCGAGGCCTTGAAGACGCCCAAGGGAGCCTCCAAGACGGCCCTGGAGCACCCCAAGAGGGCCCCAAGTCGATCCGTAGCCATTTTGGCTCCAGCCAGTGTGGCTCAAAGCTCAAGCATGCTGGGCACGGCAGCGGGCAGGGCACACGCGCCATGGTCAGCGCCTGCCAGATCGTGCAAGCCATCATCAAAGTCTATGTGCCATGCTGCCTGATCGGCGCATTTCTGTTGCAGGACCAGCCCCTCACGGCCCTGCTTGCGCCCCGCGGTCCGCTCGCGCTGTTCTCTGTCGGCCCGGCAAGCAGGCTCGACGCCGCGGCGCCGCTGGTGGGCCAAACGGCGGCGGTGGCCAGCCCGGCACCAGGGCTGGCGCCACGAACGAGGCCGACGCCGACGCTGACGCCGAAGCCGACGCCAGGGCCACCCGCAGCTGGCGAAGGCCACGGGCCTGCTGGCGGGGGCGCGGAAGAAGACGAGCCCCCGCTCCCGGCCGTCCTGGAGCACGGCTGGTTCCGTGATTCCAGGTGTACGAAGCTCGCCATCCCGTGGAGGGGTGCCCCCAGCAACATAGACGTCTGGCGTCCCAACGGGTCTTGCCTCCATACAGATGGAAGCAAGGAGTCGTACCAGTTTGTCTGCAGCGCGTCCCTTGGGCTCGTGTTCGTGCAGAAGATGGACCGAGATTGCAACAGGTTGAAGCAGCAGAATGCCATAGCGCCCGAGATGTGGCAGCGCATAAAGCGGGGCGAGTGCATCTTCTATGGCACCGCCGAGATGGGCAACGACGTGTACAGCCAGCTGAACACGACGCTGCCAGCATCGTACGGAGTGGGCTGCGCGGCCTTCCCCCCCCCCCCCGCGGCCTTCTATCGGGGACAGGGCCGGCGTCGCCTGCCCTCCCGGCTCGGCCGCGCTCGGGGTCGACGGCGGGCGCAGGCTCGAGCTGAGCCTCCTCCTCCCGTCGAAGTTCAGAGACCTCTTCGCCTCCGAGCAGGTTCAGCAGTACAGCTTTTGCATTAAATCGATCTCGGTGACGGTCGAGGACCAGAAGAACGAGCCCGCGAAGACGCTGGACAAGGGGACGCGCCGCGCACTGGACGTTCCACGAAACGAGTCTGCCTTCTCGGACGTCAAGCTGCTGCTGGCCGTCATGACGCCCACCTACGCCTGCGACGTGCGCAACGTGCACAGGACTGGATGACCCACAGGCGCGTCTGCGCCTTGCGCCGCCACGCAGAGGCCGGGTGCTCGATCATGCCTCTGTTCGTATTCGCGAACGTCTCGCGCGACGCCGTTGAGGAAGCCGACGATGTAGTGTTTCTGCCCGACGTGCAGCCTTCCAAACGCCTGAGCAACGGCGTCAGTGTCTGGTGGAAACTCGGCAAGAACAGGGATATGTGGAGGGAGGGACAGTACAAGACCCCAGCGTGGTTCCAGCACGCCCTGCAGTATCCCTGGGCGACGCACATCGCAAAGATGGACCTTGACACGTATCCCTTCGTGACGGCGATCTACAACGACTTGATCCGCCTTCCGCCCACCCGCGTGTTCTACGGCAGGCAGTTTTCCGTGGGGGGGGGTGGCATGTATGGCGAGTTCTATCTTGTCACCAAGGACGTCGCGGCGGGGTGGGTGGACGTGGAGAACTTAACGAGGAAGGCGCGGCGTGCGCAGTTCAAGGGCATCGCCGAAGACCAGACGTTTGCTACGGTCATGCGTTTGGGAGTTCATACTTATTGGTTTGCTTTAAACGGCTGTAGGCAAGTTAGATGGGTCCACATGAGATAGCCGCTTGGACACCCTGGCGCCTTGCAGTGGCAGGCCAGCCCTCTTCTCGATTGTCCAGGGGTGCACACAGTGGCCACCACGTGTTCAGGGTCCAGGGGGGGAGGGGACAAGAGCACCAGCATCTAAGAGTGAGCGCCCATGTCGCACGTCAGCCGAGACCTGTCTGCTGTGCCGAGTCAGAGCTCCGATCGGCGTGTGGAGATTCGCCCAGGCCTGGCCTGCTTGAAAACTTATAGCCGGAGTGCAGTATCCCCAAAGAGGGTTTTTAGACCCACTGCGGCTTCCAAGGTCGATTGCGTGCCCGCCTAGTGCGGGCTGGCATGGCATGTTAAAACATGCCTCCTCCTCCTCCTCCTCCTCGTCCACCTCCTCTTCATCCCGAAAGGCATCTCGGAACCCAGAGTTGCGAGGATGTCTCCAGCGTAACGGGCTGGACCACCTCGCGCGCGGCATTTCGGACCCCAGAGTTGCGACGATGTCTCGGGCGAAACGTGCTGCGAGGAAGTCTCAGGCGAAACGGGCCGGACCACCTCGAGCGCGGCGTCTCAGAGCTCCGAGTTGCGGGGGCCTCCTGGTGCCTCCTGGGGCCTCCTGGGGACCTCCTGGGGCTTCCTCCCGGGCCTCCTGTGGCCTCCTGAACTCCACCTGAGGTTTCCTGAAGCATCTTGGGGCTCCCAGGGGGGATATCTAACCTGTGGCCGTTTGGGCCTCTCCAAAGGCCACAGGAGCAGGAAAAATCAACGAATCGACACCAGATGTGTATTAACTTGACACGTTCTGATAAGCGGCCTCCTGGGGCCTCCTGGGAGCCTCCTGGGAATCTCCTGCGGACCCCTGGGGCCTGTCCTGGGCGTCCTGCGGCCTCCTGAAGCTCTCTGGGACCTCCCCCTCCTCCTGCCTGCTCCCTCATGCACATCATCCGCCTCCTCCTTCTCCCTTCCATCTCCTCCTCCTCCTCCTCCTCCTCCTCCTCCTCCTCCTCCACCTCCTCTTCATCGCGAACGGCATTTCGGAGCCTAGAGTTGCGAGGATGTCTCCAGCGTAACGGGCTGGACCACCTCGCGCGCGGCATCTCGGACCCCAGAGTTGCGACGATGTCTCGGGCGAAACGTGCTGCGAGGAAGTCTCAGGCGAAACGGGCTGGACCACCTCGAGCGCGGCGTCTCAGAGCTCCGAGTTGCGGGGGCCTCCTGGTGCCTCCTGGGGCCTCCTGGGGACCTCCTGGAGCTTCCTCCTGGGCCTCCTGTGGCCTCCTGAACTCCACCTGAGGTTTCCTGAAGCATCTTGGGGCTCCCAGGGGGGATATCTAACCTGTGGCCGCTTGGGCCTCTCCAAATGGAGGGGGGGGCACAAGAGCAGGAAAAATCAACGAATCGACACCGGATGTGTATTAACTTGACACGTTCTGATAGAGGGCCTCCTGGGGCCTCCTGGGAATCTCCTGGGGGCCCCTGGGGCCTGTCCTGGGCGTCCTGCGGCCTCCTGGACCTCTCTGGGGCCTCCTGAGGCTCGCAGGGTCCCATGGAGGATATGTAACATGTGGCCTTCTGGGCCCCCAGGCTGGACCACCTCTTGCGCAGCATCTGAGAGCTCAGAGTTGCGAGAATATCTTGTGCGAAACAGGCCGGACCACCTTGCGCACGGCATCTCAGATCTCAGAGTTGCAAGGATTTCTCAGGCGAGACGGGCCGGACCACCTCGCGCAGGGCATCTCAGAGCTCAGAAGTTCGAGGATGTCTCAGGCGAAACGGGCCGGACCACCTCGCGCGCGGCATCGGGGAGATCAGAGTTTCGAGGATGTCTCAGGCGAAACGGGCCGGACCACCTCGCGCGCGGCATCTTGGAGCTCAGAGTTGCGAGGATGTCTCAGGCGAAACGGCCCGGACCACCTCTCGCGCGGCATCTGGGAGCTCAGAGTTTCGAGGATGTCTCAAGCGAAACGGCCCGGACCACCTCTCGCGCGGCCTCTCAGAGCTCAGATTTAGGAGGATGTCTCAGGCGAAACGCTCAATCCCGGACAACTCAGAAACGAGAGTTGTGAGGATGTCTCAGGCGAAACGGGCCGGACCACCACATTTGTTTGAGGATGTCTCTGCTTAGCTTTCCCTCGGCCGGAATTAGCTTCTATCACAACAGCACCCCGTTCAGCAAGCTGTTTGGGGAATGGGGAAAAAGAGGGCCCCAAGTCCAGATCACCTCGGGACCTCGCGGCGCCTGGGGGGTTGCGATCTGCGCAACTGTCGCCACTTTCGTGGGCTCCTGGGAGGCCCAGCGGAGTTGGGGTACACGCAGATCACCTCGGGACCTCGCGGCGCCTTCTGGGGTACTGCGATCTGCGCAACTGTCGCCACGTTCGTGGGCTCCTGGGAGGCCCAGCGGAGTTGGGGTACACGCAGATCACCTCGGGACCTCGCGGCGCCTGGGGGGTTGCGATCTGCGCAACTGTCGCCACTTTCGTGGGCTCCTGGGAGGCCCAGCGGAGTTGGGATACACGCAGATCGCGGACCTCGCGGCGCCTGGGGGGGTGCGATCTGCGCAACTGTCGGCACTTTCGTGGGCTCCTGGGAGGCCCAGCGGAGTTGGGGTACACGCGATCACCTCGGTGCCCGCTGGGGGCGATCTGCGCAACTGTCGCCACTTTCGTGGGCTCCTGGGAGGCCCAGCGGGGTTGGGTACACGCAGATCGCGTCGGGACCTCGCGGCTCCTGCGGGGTGAGCTGCCAACTGCCCATTGTCGTCACTTCGTGGCTCCTGAGGCCCAGCGGAGTTGGGGTACACGCAGATCACCTCGGACCTCGCGGCTCCCTGCGGGGGGAGCTGCCACCTGCGCAACTGTCGCCACTTTCGTGGGCTCATGGGAGGCCCAGCGAAGTGGGGTTTGACGCGGATCGCGTCGGGACCTCGCGGCTCCCTGCGGGGGGGGCTGCCAACTGCGCAACTGTCGCCACTTTCGTGGGCTCCTGGGAGGCCCAGCGGAGTTGGGGTACACGCAGATCACCTCGGGACCTCGCGGCGCCCTGGGGGGTTGCGATTTGCGCAACTGTCGCCATGTTCGTGGGCTCCTGGGAGGCCCAGCGGAGTTGGGGTACACGCAGATCACCTCGGGACCTCGCGGCTCCCTGCGGGGGGAGCTGCCAACTGCGCAACTGTCGGCACTTTCGTGGGCTCCTGGGAGGCCCAGCGGAGTGGGGTTACACGCGGATCGCGTCGGGACCTCGCGGCTCCCTGCGGGGGGAGCTGCCAACTGCGCAACTGTCGGCACTTTCGTGGGCTCCTGGGAGGCCCAGCGGAGTGGGGGTTACACGCAGATCGCGTCGGGACCTCGCGGCTCCCTGCGGGGGGAGCTGCCAACTGCGCAATTGTCGGCACTTTCGTGGGCTCCTGGGAGGCCCAGCGGAGTGGGGGTGACACGCGGATCGCTTCGGGACCTCGCGGCTCCCTGCGGGGGGAGTTGCCAACTGCGCAATTGTCGGAACTTTCGTGGGCTCCTGGGAGGCCCAGCGGAGTGGGGTGACACGCAGATCGCGTCGGGACCTCGCGGCTCCCTGCGGGGGGAGCTGCCAACTGCGCAATTGTCGTCACTTTCGTGGGCTCCTGGGAGGCCCAGCGGAGTTGGGGTACACGCAGATCGCGTCGGGACCTCGCGGCTCCCTGCGGGGGAAGCTGCCAACTGCGCAACTGTCGCCACTTTCGTGGGCTCCTGGGAAGCCCAGCGGAGTGGGGTGACACGCAGATCGCGTCGGGACCTCGCGGCTCCCTGCGGGGGGAGCTGCAAACTGGCAATTGTCGGCTTTTTCGTGGGCTCCTGTGAGGCCCAGCGGGGTGGGGGGACACGCAGATCGCGTCGAGACCTCGCGGCTCCCTGCGGGGGGAGCTGCCAACTGCGCAACTGTCGGCATTTTTGTGGGCTCCTGGGAGGCCCAACTGAGTGGGCGGACACGCAGATCGCGTCGAGACCTCGCGGCTCCCTGCGGGGGGAGCTGCCAACTGCGCAACCGTGGGCTCCTGGGAGGCCCAGCGGAGTGGGTGTGACACGCGGATCGCGCCGAGACCTCGCGGCTCCCTGCGGGGGGAGCTGCCAACTTGCGCAGTTGTCGGCACTTTCGTGGGCTCCTGGGAGGCCCAGCGGAGGGGCCACGCTTTCGGTCCTCGCAATGGTCGTCGCTTTCGTGGGCCTCTTGGACGTCCAGCGGATGTTCAGCTATTTTGAAAGCGCCAGTTGATAATGCCACCTGTTGCCAAAGGGTTGAGTACGTCCCTGGGTTTTTAACCACCCTGCTACACTACGACTGGCTGCTACTACTACGACTAACTCCTACTACTACTCACCACTACTACACTCCTACGCTACTACCACTACTACTACTACTACTACTACTACTACTACTACTACTACTACTACTACTACTACTACTACTACTACTACCACTATACACTACTAACTACTCACACTTATTACTAGTACTACTACTACTACTACTACGACTACTACTACTACTACTACTACTACACTACTACTACACTAAAGACTACTAATACAAACTACTACTACGACGACTACTACTACTATACTACGACTACCAATAACTGTAATAACACTGTTACTGTACGCCCGCCGCCGGCTTGGTACCCTTTCTGGCGCCGAACCAACCCATCCAGATACCAAGCCAGCGGCCGCCGGCTTGGTACCCCGCCGGCTTGGTACCCCCCCTGGGGCTCCTCCCTACCAAGCCAGCGGCCGCCGGCTTGGTACCCCCCCGGCTTGGTACCCCTCCAGGGCCTCCTCCCTACCAAGCCAGCGGCCGCCGGCTTGGTACCCCGCCGGCTTGGTACCCCTCCAGGGCCTCCTCCCTACCAAGCCAGCGGCCGCCGGCTTGGTACCCCGCCGTCTTGGTACACCCCGAGGGCCTCCTCCCTACCAAGCCAGCGGCCGCCGGCTTGGTACCCCGCTGGCTTGGTACCCCTCCAGGGCCTCCTCCCTACCAAGCCAGCGGCCGCCG